CTCCAGATGTCCTTGAGGAAGTCTATCATAGTGTTTCCCTAATCTTTTGAGAAAATTGAGATTCTGATCTTTTGTTCTTGTGACTTCAAATAATGACTATTTCAAAATAGCTCTGCAGGCATAATGATCCTACTCATTTGATGACAAAACTTTTGATTAGTAATTAATAATCATGTTCTACATGAACAGCGTCTCACTTCCTTTCTGCAGTCTCTATATTTGCACACCAGCCTGCGTGAGTCTGTATATGTTGTTACTTTTGAGTAAGCTCAGTTGCTTTTAAATAATATAATCTTTTTTTAATTCATCAGAACTACTCTATACAGAAATGCTGTCATGCGAAGGATAATTAAATCTGTCTTCCTCTAAGTTAAAAAGGGAGTCTTATGTATGCTTGGTGCTTATTTATCTCATTTTCAGAGTGACTATTCTCTAGTCTTCCTGTCCTTTTCCTTACATCCAACATTCGCAGCACCTCCCAACATTTCTGGCAAGCGATCTGCCGTTGAGCTACACCCCCTGTTGTGGTTGTGTCTTACAATACTCTAAAATAGAAACAAGATAAACAAGATAATTTTTAGGAAAGATGAGATTGTACTTGACGCATCATGAAGAATATGAAAGTTGTATCTTTGAATATGAGTCTTATGATATTGGTTGTTATATTAGTACAAATATCTGTTATATTAAGCATCCCTCCAATCTTATTTTAAGGTTTCTGGTAACACTAACTATTTAGCAATGCAATTAACGTCCAGAAAACTTTCTAGATAGTCAAGACATTTTTCACAAAAATTAACGCTCATGCTACCTACACGTGTGCACATAAGTAAGGCTCGCCTCCCTGGAGGCTAGGGTTCTTTCTTCTTCTTTCTTGGCAGATAAACTCAATTTTCCTCTCCTTGAGATACAGTTCCCACGTATGTCTCAGACTAGAATTGAACTCTTAACTGTTTTTCATTCAACTTTCTAAACTTCATAATTAAAGTGATCCAGGGTCTGGAAAGATGGCTCTGTGGTTTAGAGCAGTGGATGGTCTTGGAGAGGTCCTGAGTTCAATTCCCAGCGCCTGCATAGTAGCTCACAACCATCTGTAATGAGATCTGACGTCCTCTTCTGGGCTGCAGGCACACATGCAGAAAGAGCATTCATTCATAAAATAAACAAATCATTTTTTAAGAAAGGATTTAAGGGGTCATACCACTATATACAGCTCACATCTTGCTTTTTAAAATTAATTTCAGAGCCAGACATGGCAGTGCACACACGTAATTCTAGCACCCAGAAGGTGGAGGTAGAAAACATAGGATGTTCTACAACAGGGAGATCTCGATGCAAAAATAAATAAATTAAGCGGGGGGGTGATGCCACACACCTATTATCCCACCATTCAGAAGGTGAAGCAAGAGGACCAGGGGGTCAAAGATATACTTATTTGCATAGCAAATTCAAGACCAGTCTGGGCTGTATGAGACCATGTCTCAAAAAGAGATAATTAAAAAAATACAGACATGAATAAATGAATTCAACTATGTAAGGGAAATGAATGGCTAATATCTAAATAACTTTATGCTCCATGGGTTTATTTTTAAGGAAATCTAAGTGTGTTCATGGCTGTTTTAAAATATAAGTATGAAATTTCTTTATCTGTTCAATGTATAACGTCAGTAAAACATTAAGCTGACATTCACTAATTTGTGAATGTTGCTTTGAAACATTTTATCATGGTGGTTGTTTTGACGTTTTAAAGATTATTTATTTATTTAATGTGGACTGGTGTTTTCTATATGTATTGTCTGTGTCAGGGTGTCAGAGCCCTTGGACCTGGAGTTACAGACAGTTTATAGACAGTCATGAGTTGATATGTGGGTGCTGGGATTTGAACCCATGTCCTCTGAAAGAGCAGCCAGTGCTTTTAACTGCTGGGCCTTCTCTCCTGCCCTGTTTTGGTTTCCTTATTCTGTGCGTGTCCATACTTGTCTAGAAGTCCTGTGTGATGCTCTGTGTCAGACTTACCTTTGATTTGGAGTTGTGGATCCTTGGAGTGAGTGGGCATGGAGATGGGAGCAAGCTGTGGAAAGGAATCCTACAGGCTGGTTGTCCCCAGAAACTTTCATAAACCAACCTCTCTCTCTGTCTCTGTCTCTCTCTGTCTCTCTCTTTCTCTGTCTCTCTCAGTCTCTGTCTCTGTCTCTGTCTCTCTCTGTCTCTGTCTCTCTCTGTCTCTGTCTCTCTCTGTCTCTCTCTTTCTCTGTCTCTCTCAGTCTCTGTCTCTGTCTCTCTCTGTCTCTGTCTCTCTCTGTCTCTGTCTCTCTCTGTCTCTCTCTTTCTCTGTCTCTCTCAGTCTCTGTCTCTCTCTGTCTCTGTCTCTCTCTGTCTGTCTGTCTCTCTCTCTGTCTCTGTGTCTCTGTCTCTGTCTCTGTCTCTGTCTCTCTCTCTCTCTCTGTATTTTCCAGACAGTAGCCTTGGCTGTCCTGAGACTCGCTCTGTAGACCAGGCTGGTCTCGAACTCACAGAGATCCACCTGCCTCTGCCTCCGAGTGCTGAGATTAAGTGCGCGCTCTCACCGCCTGGTCGATAAATTTAATTGAAAACAAGGGCCCAAGAATCAGTGGGAAATTGTATCTGACACTTAGGAATTTTAAAAGTACTTTAAGAATTGCCAGTTCAGCTTCACTGAATGTCCTGAATACTTTTCCGTATAAAGTACCGAGGGAATGCTAAAACTTCATGCTCTTTCATTTTTAGATTATCGGAGTGAAGGCTAGCATTTCAATCCAAACACATCTGAAATGGTTTACTTCCTTTTTGCAGCACATTTACATTGTGAAATTAAAACATGATTGCATCATTTCTCCATTCCCTTTCCTCTCTTGAACTATCCCCATACTCCCCCTTGCTCTTCTGTTACACACACACACACACACACACACACACACACACACACACACACACTCCTAAATACGCAAACACAGCCTGCTCAGCCTGTATAATGTTATCATGTGTGTAAAGTCTTACTCTTTTTTCCTGGCCTGTCTCTGTCTCATCCATGTCTCCGTCTGCTAGCCGATTGCCATGGTGGCTCTTCTTACAGTTCTGGAACCCAGTGACAGGGAACTGAGTGTTTATCAGGGAGTTTCCTCTTCAAATGCATTCGTGTTACAGTGCGGCCCCCTACATAGTGCATCACGGCACCTGTGCCAATCTCTAAAGTTACAAGGAAAAAACAGGAACTATTTTAAACATTGGTTAAAATTGTAAACTTCGCAAAACTGGAACTGGAGTGGATTATTAAATCGTTTTTTAAAAACACAGCTGAATTATTTTCCTAAAGACTTAAATTGACAAGTGAAGTTTTCTTGTTTATGTTGTGTACGTTTTAATAAAATGGAGACTACCCCTCTTAAAACATTGTTTTTATGCCTATAATAAAATGAGGTAAGTAAACTCGGATTAATAGCAAAAGCGTTATGCTGGCGTACAAACCAATTGAGAACTCCAATTAAACACCGAAACATGTTAATCCTTTCAAGTGGTTACTGTCTCCAGCTTTCGGTGTTTGCTCTTGGGGTAATGCATGCATTCCTGTTATAAACGAATGTCTACTCCAGGGTAGCTAGAAACGCTGGGCTTTCTTGTCTGCAGTATTGGGGTGGCATCTGTGGGGCTGTGTCATTCACTCAGCGCTGCTGCCACTTTTAGCCGATCACTTCTATTCTTTGCCGGTGGTGGGGCACAGAAAGTATAGTTTGACCGTGTGTTACAATATGTAAAACGCGATAGTTTTCCATTACGGTGACAAAGTTTTTTTAGGAAAATTCTATCGAACACTGTGGTCATTGTCACTTATTAACCCAGTTTCACACAGTCTGTGATGATTTCGTTTTTCATATTATTCGTGGTAATAAAGACATCTGGAAAGATACAGAAATTCCCTATGATTATCAAAGCATTTTCACTAAGGAAAGAAAAATCTTTATGAGGTAGTTTTCCTAAGGTGAGGATATTGGTTCTGTAACTAAACAGTGCCCCTTTGAGACATGAAACATGGCAGTACATTTGAATTAATATTTTGTCCTTCACCTGGAATTGCATATCAACTATTTTTAAAAATACAGAATCAAGCCGGGCGGTGGTAGCACATGCCTTTAATCCCAGCACTCGGGAGGCAGAGGCAGGCGGATCTCTGTGAGTTCGAGGCCAGGCTGGACCGACAGCCTCCAAAACAATACAGAGAAACCCTGTCTCGTAAAACCAAAAAAAAAAAAAACCCAGAATCAAAAAAGTCAAACTTTATGATGTAACATGCTACATATATATTATTGATCATGTTAGGGTTTATAATCGCTACGGTAGGCCCCAAGAGCTAAGTGTCAACAATTATTGCTCATATATGTGTAAGTATTGTTGTTTCTACAGGAGTTAAATTTTAATGATTGGAGAGGTCACCAGAGTGATTTCTGTTTGGAGGGTGTGTTTAAATATCAATGCACACTTCCAAGCTGCCCTGTTTTCCTGGGACCTTCTTTTCATTCTTCTGTTGAAAACATTCGGGCTATCAGTATACTTTGATAGTGCTATTAGCATTTTTATAATTCACTCCATTTGCTGATCAACACCCTGCAAAGCTTTCTTGTCTCTGGAAAACACTAGGAAACATGGCTGGGTGTCTTTCAACTAGAATAGACCACATAGTCACAGGTCACACGCTCTCATCCTTTTGGAAAGCAGGTGGCTGGGGTTGCAATGACCATAACTGAGCAGCTCAGTCATAATTCAGCTGTGGAATTGCTAACAGCATCAGATTTGGGATCTTTAGAACTTTTTAAGCCTAGTCAGAATTTACTCAGGATGTGTTGGAAAAAATTCTTCTTTTTTTTGAATACACATTAACTTTAAGCAATTCTGTTTTTTTTTTTCAAAATCAGTTTGATGCATCATGACCACATAGCAGGAAGGCATTAAAGATCAACTGAGCTGCTTTTTGACTAACATTTCAGGGATTGTGAAGCAGCAGATAGACAGCCATATCTCAGATGCAGACCAACAGAACAGCGGCCTCTCCTAGAGCGGACCACCACCCGCTCCAGATCCTCCGAGCGTGCTGACACAAGCCTCATGAGGTCGATGCCTTCATTAATGACTGGAAGATCTGCCCCTCCTTCACCTGCCTTATCGAGGTGAAAGATAAATCGATCAGACTAACTCCCCTGTCTGCTCTCCCGACACACCATCCGATTTTACCAGCAGCTGAATGGTCTCCTCCCTCATTTTTGGCTGATCATCAGTCCGAGTCGATACTAACCCTGTCAGTGTAAACACACTATCTATCCTCAATGGATACAATAGTGTGTCATTCCCGTCGTAATTCGTTTCTGATCTGTCCTGATTGCATTTGTTCTGTGATTTCATTCTAATCAGGAGTCCCGGGTAACTCCTGTCATAACTATCATGTTCTTCCACAGAATGAGAAGTTGCTGTGTTCATTAGTCATGACTTCTAATAATCACCACCCCAGTAAATAAAAATAGGTTCATTTAGTTTCTAGGGGCATTAATATCAGTTATCAGAATTTTCCTTAGTTGAATTTTGAGTTGCTTGCGTTTTTTTTTTTTTTTTGGTAGATTCATGAGAAGTTTTCTTTTCTTTTTCTTTCTTTTTTTAAAGGATATTTAGCATAAACTTAAGTAAAAATCTGATCTGGTCAAAGGAAGAAGGTTAGTTTTAAGAGTTTAGATAATTGTAGAAAAAGCATAAACTTTTATTCTTTAAGTTGTAGAATTTTCTACTTGCTTTCATATAAATAGATTAGTAGTCCATATTACTAATTTCATGGATTTTACTATAGGCTCTGTGTGCATGTGTGTGTGTGTGTGTGTGTGTGTGTGTATGTACACATATTATACCAAAACATAAACATTTTTTTGGTGTTTAAGTAACTGTTCAAATGTCTCCACATTTTGTCCTGTTCTCTCTTAGCCAGCAGCAAACCTACCTTTAGAAATCACACCACCACAGCCGTTACGTAAAGCAGCTAATGTACTGAACGTACTTAGCACTGACTGAAAGCATGTCAATGGTCCATCTCGTAGGTCTCACCCTCGAACCGGGTCTGTCCAGACAAGTCCGTCGAGTACTCCAGTAACAGGACGGAGGGGCCGGCAGCTGCCACAGCTTCCACCCAAGGGGACGCTGGAGAGAAGTAAGTGTTCAGTTTTCTACTTATGCCACGTAGGAAATCCGCGTGGAAGCTGAGGCAGATCGAGATTTCCTACCGTCTTTGTGCTGACATCTTCCTGTGTCTAGCCGTGTACATGGCTTCATTTGATAAGCCGTATCTGTGAATGTAATATACACGGCATGTAAAATTTATACTTGGCGATAAAAAGAAACAACGGTTACTCATTTTGCATTTCAAGTGTGAGTAAGTGTGTTGATGAGTAACCAGGAGTTCTGTGTGAGCAGCTGGATTCTAGTGTCCTTGCTATGCCCGGGATTGTGTAGTTGTTGGCGATCACACAAAGTTTGGTAGTGACTAGCTAAGTCAGTGTTCACACACTGCAGTCCACAGCAGTGGCAATCCTTCTCAAACTGGAACGCAGCAGCAGGTAACCCTGAGGGCGCAGGAAAAGATGCATTCTGTACTGTCGCTCCTCACGACTGTAGGTTTGCTACGTGGAAAGTCGACACATGTGGGCACCTATACCTCTTGGTTGAAGTCCCGAAAGCATGGAGAACAGGACAGAATGGCGTTAACACCCTTTAAACCACAGGCCCTCTCTTTAGTAACTTTTCCAAAGCTACACGTGCATCCGAATCGCCATTTAACTTTCCGTTGGTAGACAATATATTCTCTGGCTTGGAAATATTCTGTTGTTTTTAACCCCTATGCTTTGGTCCCCCACCCCTCTTGTTTTCTTTTTTTTTGTTTTGTTTTTTGTTTGTTTGTTTGTTTTCCCCAGACAATGGAGTCAAGGAGCTAGATCCTTGTGAAGGTCTGTACAAGAAGGAGGGGTTGTTTGTATGGAAGCCTCTGGGGGGCTGTGAAGCAAAAATAAACCCAGCTGCAACTGACATTCCTTCGTTTTTTATGGCTTTATGTACAGATAAATTGGTTTGTTTTCTAGTTTCTAACCAAGTACTCAAATTTTATTTTCTGTGAAACGACACCATGGAATTAAATTTTGATTCAAGCCGGAGTGCAAAGAGTTTAACTTCTTTTACATAACTAGATAATACTAGTTCTTATAAAATATTTAGTTTTCTTTTTAAACAGAATTCTGGGTTTTGAATGAGACTATACCCAGGAATATCAATTGCAGGTTGTGTTTATGCCATCGAGGACATATGCCTAGTCCGGCAATAATTATCATTTTATATTTCACTTTGCATGTATGATGATGATCTTATTATTAACGTAAACTTTCTGCAAAAGAAGACGTTGAGTTGGGTACTGGTTGTGGCTTGTGTTTCCTGTTGTAGCAAATCTGTCTAGAGTATGTCAAGGATAAATATGGCAGTTTTGTGCCTTTATTATCAAACACTGCATTATACCTCGAGAAAAAAAAAATCCTGAGTCGTATTACATGGACTGTCATTACATTTGCTAGAACGGTAAAAACCTGCTAGTTTCAGAACTTTGAAGTTGCTGCTGTATTTTTTACTGCTGAGTTTCCAGCACAGAGTATGATGTGTAACACATTGTAGAACTGGAACAAATGTTTATCGAGTTGAAAACTGAAACACTGTCCTAAAAAAAGTGCAATGGTACCTCAAGTAGCATGTAGACTACCACTGAAAACTCGTCATTCCTTATATGTGTGTAGAAAAGTCGTGTCCCTGTGGCATTTACAACAAATTTATACATGCCTTGCATCAGGCCACAAATCGCTTATTGCCTTGTGTAATCTTGTGATGTAAGCCGTGCTCCTGTTAGTTGTGGCTGGCTGGCCATCAACTTCCGCGGTGGCTTCTGCTCCTCACCGACCGTAATTCTCCAAAGCATGGCGGTGCTAGGGCTCGCACTCTCCTCTCCCGTCAGACAGAAGGATGTCTGTGGCATTGCCAAGGCGCTTGACTGTTTCCATAGGACTAATAGCTTCTGTTTTTTAGGTTGTTTTTCATGAGTCTTTGTCTCCTCTAAACTTTGAAGCTTCCATTTTTGTGTGGTTGGTAGCAGACGTCTGCTGAGGTGCGGACAGCCTGGAGCTGTGCAGTGCTGGCTTTGGGGGAAACCAACCCTTACTGCTGAGGGGAAATTCAGATCAGAAGAGTCAAGGGTTTCTGTGAACGCTCTCACTGCTGGTTTTTGTTTGTTTTGTTTTTGTTTTCAGTAGAGAGAGTACTTTAAAACCACTAATATCACTAGCAATTTCCAGCAATGTCTCTAGTTATGATTTTCTGCTTTTTGTTTCACAAAGGAAGAGGCTCTAAAGGCTTCCCTGCTCTTTGCAGTGTGGAGGAGGTTTTGTATCACAGTACCAACTGGTGATTACCAGCATTTTCAGACTGTTTTACTATGGAGGCTCCAGAGGTCCATGAACCTGTAGCTCCTTCAGTGTTAAAGGATGTAGTGAATGCCTCTTCTGCAGATCCCAAGTCAAAGGTGCAGTCGTCCAAAATAAGCTGTCGATTGATAGTCCCAAGCTGACCCTCTACACGGTTGATAGATATTGTCATTAATGGCATTCCTAGTATAAACATATTGAAGCATTTATTCTACCTTTAGCAACTAAAAACAAGCAAACTGTAATTCACTGATGGCTTTGAGTAATTATTTTATTTTATCTAGAAACTAAATGAATTAGAAATATATATTTTGATTTGAGGCTAATATTTTCTTAAACTCTCTTTGCCAAAAATGTGCAAAAATGAGAATGATAAAAACAGCTATAAGACATTAGCATTATTATTTTTTTTAAATCCTAACAGATTCGTTTTCAAAGGCGTGTCAGAAATACCATATGTAACTTACTTTTCCTTGTATAAACAGCCACTATTTCATTACAAACGATTTGTTTGTTTGCTGTCTTTTAACACTAACAACCAGCCCCCTGGTCTTGTCTTCTCCTTTTCCTTTGGCAAATCCAGAAGCTACGGAAGAAACTGGACACGTGGGAGACAAGGGGGTAGGAAAGGAGGGCGAGGAGGTCAAGGCAGGTGTGTCTGTCTGTCTGTGTGTCTGTGTGTCTGACTTCTAAATGAGTTAATATCCTCAAATTCTGTGACTTCATAAGAAATGCTGTAAGGCCAACCTCAAAGTGTTTGATCTGACCAACTGAGTATTCTCTTGAGTGATAAAAACCAACGAGAATTATAAACCGTTTCTTTGGCCTGAATACGCACATTGCTTACCTCAACTTTTTATTGATGTTCTGGTTGTTTCTTTACCTTCTGGTGAATAATCTCTGTCAGCTAGTTACTAGAAACCTCTGTCTCCCTTATGCTTCCCTGGATAAGGGAGCCCTTGTCTTGTCTAAGGGTTGCAAATGTAGGAGGAGCAGATTATAAGGATATATACCAAACAGAAAATACTGACTTTAATAGACTGTGACCGCCTTCCCACTAGTTCATTTCCTAAATAAGAACCAGCTTCCCTGGCTTTCCCTTCTCTGCTTTCCCAGGCTCAGTATTGCAGCCCCTGTTTTAAAAGCCACTCCTCACGTTAGTGTCTCCTTTTGGAGGGTGCGTGGGCTTTCGTTTCTTCACAACATAATTGGATATCGGAGTCTGTCGTAGTAAAATATTATGTACACTCAAATACATTTGTCTGATTTTATTGAATTGTTGCTATAGTTATTTGAACCTCTGGATTGGATCCTAATCTTACCTAAGTTGATGTCTTGGATTTTAGCTTTCTATGAAACCTGCAGAATAACTTTAAACCTATTTTTTCCTGTCTCTAACTGATCTTTTCTTTTACTATATGAATTTATGTGTGAGTTTTAAAGTTAGGCTGTGTCCTCTCCCCTCCTTTATCACTGTAAGAAAGCAATGCCCTTGTGTAGATTGTGCCCAAGTTACATTTTCATGGATGCATTCTCTGAACAGAATTTGTAGTTTTTAAAACAAAGACCTTCTGCGGGTGATGTTCTAAGTCAATGGGGAGAAAGGCGATCTTAGTTGCTTAGTTATAGAAATGTATACTTATATCCCATTCTGAATATCAAATTTCCTTAACACTAGAATTTTAGTGAAGGCCTTTCATTTTCCTGGCTGATACAGAGTTAAAATTTAGTGAACTATGGTGCTGTAGAATAATTTCCATTTTCATTTAGTTGAAGAGCTAATGTTTCTGTTTTCCCGTCTCCTTATAGCTCATATTAATTCACTCGAGTTCTGAGTCTTTCACACTTTATGAATTGACTTTTATAATAATTTTAAAAGTACCACTTAACTTGAAGGTTTCTTCAATATCTGTATCACTTTTGTTTTACCCCTTAACATAAAGAAGAAAGACATTTTCCAAACCAGTTTCTCACCTGTGACTCGTTCTCAAGTACTTAGTAAATTACATTAGGTCATATCATAGTGGAAACAAAACTATCTAGCGCATAACCAAAATACAAAATGTTTTTTCTTACCTTTTCCTACAGATGAGGGAGCCTGTACTACATATACTTTATCCTCACGTGTGCAGTGTGGGTGACGTGTTAAATGCATGAATTTGTTTTTACAGTGCATGCTTCATTCTTTTTGGAGTGCTTACGTTTTATTTGGATTGTTAATGACCTTAATTATTAATTATTGTTGTCTGGTTTCAATGCTAAAGACAATGGGGAAGAAATGTCAAGTTCACCTAATAATGGGAAAAAAGGCAAGTCTGAAATGGCTTTTCTGTGTATTAGACTCAGTGTGTTGATATTTATAATGTGTATGAATATTCTTTAAGTTATGGAAGTATAAGCCTTAGTCCCAACTTCAGTCATTTAGTATTAAAAATATTTGCTTGTGTTTATTTCTAAGTAGTTATTTAACCTCTAAAGTGTTTACCCTAGGTTGATGATGCAGCTCAATTGCATAGCATTTGCCTAGCACGCACACACGCGCACGCACACACACATACATGTACACGCACACACATGCACACAACACACACACATGCACACAGTAAATAGCTTATTGATGCTAATACCGCTCTGTATTAAACTGTACAGATAAAAACTAAGAAGATTTATTTTGTTGCTCACATTAAGTTGCAAA